CCCACTCATGCTCTGTCTCTCTCTGCCTTAAAAATAAATAAAATTAAAAAAAAAATAAAGAAAAAAAGAAAGAAAGGAAAGAAAACCAAAGGCCCCAAATGATGGCCCAATTAGTAAACCAAGACTTAATAATACATGGCCTAATAGTTTTAAACCCCAGAAATGTAACCCTTAGCCAGTCAACATGGGAATTTTCCATCAGCACTAGGAAATTTACTGATAGGCAAATTTCCCATAGTATGGCAATTTTGCCTAAAACAATGGATTTTTTTTTTTTTTTTTTTTTTTTTTTTTTTTGCTAATAATTTCCTTTTTTACACTCCCTCTCTACCTTTAAAAATCTTCCTTTTTCTGGGGCACCTGGGTGGCTCAGTTGGCTAAGTGTCCAACTATAGCTCAGGTCATGATCTCGTGGTTTTTTTGTTTGAGCCCCGCGTTGGGCTCTGTGCTGACAGCTTGGAGCCTGGAACCTGCTTCAGATTCTGTCTCCATCTTTCTCTACCCCTCCCCTGCTCACGTTCTGTCTCTCTCTTTCTCAGAAGTAAATAAACACTAAAAAAAAAAAATCTTTCTTTTGCTGTAGCTTTTTGGAGCCCCACCCCCACCCCCACCCCACCCCCTGCTTGCTAGATGGGATGCTGCCTGATTCATGAATTGACTAATAAAGCCAATTAGAACTTAAAATTTACTCGGTTAAAGTTTTTGTTATTAAACAGATTGGGTGGCAGGCAGCAACAAGATCCAAAGTGAATTTCCAGCAGCATTCAGGGACAAAGAGAAGCAGGCATGGTATCCCGCATACTCTTTGAATTCAGTGTCTTTCTCGCTATTTCTGAGGGCTGTGGGTAAGTTCCCTCTTGGTTCTGAGCTCTGCTCTTTGTGCATTCAAGCTCCCTCAGTCTAATTGGCTTTCCTTTACAGGGTGGGTTAGCTTGAACTGCCAGAAAGTTATGCCCAGGGCTGGCAGTTTTGCCTGGAGCCCAACTGAGCTGACAAAAGGGTCTGCCCAGAGCCAAATCCCTAGCCTTTCAGACCACAGTTTCCCTGGAATTGCTGGAAAACCCCAGCAAGGTTCCCACCCAGCAAGAATTGGTGGTGGTGAGCACAGGGCCTTCTTTTGGCCAGGACACAGTAACATCTTTTGGTTGTTGCTGATACATTAAGGTGCGCATGTTTGTCTTGTTTTGTGTAGATAAAAGCTATTGCTGTCAGAGATCTCAAGATGCCAAAAAACTGCAAAAACTGGTCGGTGCAGGTTGAGCATTTAAAGGGTGTTAGAGTGCTCACCAGCTCAAGAAAATAGAAGAAGTTGATCACAGAGTAGGTTAGATTGACACAAGTTCACCCACCAACCTCAAGAAAACTTCTATACAGTAAGGTACACTGTAAAATATGCATGATCCCCAACCCAACAGCCCCAACCTGAAGTCCCTTTTAAGGATTAGTTCAGCTCCGGAAACCCAAAGGCTTGCTAATGGGATCTTTAAATTCTAAATAGTCAAGCATGCCACCTTCTGGCACACCCGGCTTACTTTATGTCTAAGAACTATAGTCCTGGCAGTTGCAGGTGTCTTGCAAAAATGGCACAATCTTCCTAAGCTTGTTTTGTGTCCTGAGGAACTTGGCTGGGTAACCATCAGGTTGGGGTTTCCAAAATAAGGCCAGACGGAAATATGAGTTACACCCCATTTGCAGCTACATATGGCTGGACAGAAATATGGGCTAACTCCATTTGCACCTAGAATCCTACCAAACTGCTGCCAGCCTTCGAGGGAATTACAACCTAGAAATACAATGGCTGTTATGGGAACATTCCAATTAGATAATATCATTTAAGAAATGCACTTGGCGTGCTCCTGGGTGGCTTAGTCGATTAAGTGTCCAGCTTCAGCTCAGGTCATGATCTCACAGTCCCTGAGTTCAAGCCCTGCGTCGGGCTCTGTGCTGATAGCTCAGAGCCTGGAGCCTGCTTTGGATTCTGTGTCTCCCTCTCTCTCTGCCCCTCCCCTACTCATGCTCTCTCTCTCTCTCTCTCTCTCTCTCTCTTTCTCAAAAATAAATAAACATTGAAAAGAAAAAAAAAAAAAGAAATGCACAGTGAAGCAAGGATTCCCAAATTAAACAGAATGAGATACCTGTTTTAATTGGCAAGCAGAAGCCTCCAAAAGGTTTCAAAATTCCCAAGTTGTTTCGTTAAAAGATTCATTGCAAAAGGCTAATGAAAAATTAAAGATAGAAGAAGTACCCCAAACAGAAGACTGACGTAACTCCTACTGCTCCGCTCTTTTTCCACCTTGGAATACTCATTCCACTCATCCTCAGTCTGAATTGGTTTTCCACTCTGAAAAGACTGCACAATGATAAACAAAACTCTACCACATTAATGGCCTTATAGACACCCCTGTATTTACCTTCAAAGGAGGAAACCCAAATAGGCCTCTCTTAGAGTTGTTGAAACTGAGGGATTTTCTGATAACACTGCTACATTACTCCATGAAACAGTCAAGAGGAAACTCTGGTAGATATCAGAGCCTGCAGAGGGGTTCCTGGAAAAACTGGCAGGAGCCAGCGAAGGGTGAAAGTTCATTTTTAATTTTTTTTAAATGTTTTTATTTATTTTTGAGACAGAGAGAGACAGAGCATGAGCAGGGGAGGGGCAGAGAGAGAGGGAGACACAGAATCCAAAGCAGGCTCCAGGCTCTGAGCTGTGAGCACAGAGCCCGACGCGGGGCTCGAACTCAGGGACTGTGAGATCATGACCTGAGCTGAAGTCTGACACTTAACCAACTGAGCCACCCAGGCACCCCTATGAAAGTTCTTTTTTAAAGTGTATTTATTTATTTTGTGAGAGAGAATGTACAAGCGTGAGCATAGCACATGGGGAGGGGCAGAGAGAGAGGGAAGGAGAGTCCCAAGCAGGTTCTACACTGTCAGCACTGTTCTTTATTTTGACTGTCATTGAGAGTGACTTTAGATCTAGGGAAGGTAGTATCCTTTGCACCTCTTTGGGGACCCTTTTTACACCCATGG